TGCTGGGCAAGAAGTAGCCATTATCAAGTCCTCATGTCGAGACACACTGGCCTTGACAAGCAACAAGCTTCTGACTGCACTAGTCCTCATTCACCTCTCTCCTGTACCTCCAAGGACCTCCTCCAAGTATTGCTTTAGTACAAGTGCAAGGTGGTGGTTGTCCTTGAGCAAAATAGTAGATTGTTTGTATCTTTCTTAAGTTTGAAACATGCTTATTTTCATTCTTGTATTATATATTTATAAGCTTTTGATATCCTGCACTGCTTCTCCTTAAGTTATTGGACCCCATGTACTGCCCTGGGGCAAGGTGTACACTAAGAAAGAAGACTTAGGACTTCAGGGAACCTGGATTCCAACATGGGACATCCAAAAACATGGCAAAGCCATTTCAAAAGAAATTGTGCTTGAGCATAGGAAGCAGCCAGTTTAGATTGGAAGAGGAAGACTGGACAGGTCAGGAAGGATGTTGCTCTGAGGCAGAGTGAAGAAAGCTGAAAGGAAACCCCATGCCATATGCCACCTGCTGTGCCAAGTGAATGAGAAGTGCCCTGTGTTTCCTTCATAGTTTAGTGGAGAAGCAGTGGTAGGAATATAGAGAGGGAAGCAGATACAAAGACTGGTCACTTCCAGAATGACACATTTCTGCTTCCAGAAACGATACACGTGGTGATTTGAACCACCTCTCCCCTGAGGATAACTGTTAATAGAAAAGCTGGATTAAAAATAAAATGTATACACTTGACAGCATCTAGTACTAACTAGGTAATGAAGAATAACTAGGTCAGGACCGTGGAGAAGACTAGTGCTCAGCCCACAGTATGGTACTGAATGGTTCACTCTGGATGAGAACACATCCACAGCCTCCTTAGGTCAGAAGACAGAGGTTAGAATCCAGAGGTGCTATCTTTCTGCCTTGTAAAGTTTCTTTACTTCATTGTTTGTGGTGCTGGTGTTGAATCCAGGACCTTGTATGTTCCAGGCCAGCCCTCTACTGCTGAGCTACATCCCCAGACCTTATATTACTTCTGCTTGAGGCCTTGAAAGCTTGCGTTCTCTGCAAGTGCAGGCGACCTGGATGTATAGGTCTTCTTACGGACTGTACTCAATGCTACATCTTCTCAGTTGCCGAGGTGACTCTGGATTCTCTTGTTCTCCAGGCTCCATATGTAAACAAACATGTATTTTCTCTGGAGGAAAATAATGTCATCATGGGAGACTTAATTTATTTCTATAGTTTTCAAAAGCAGTGTCTAGTTTATAGTGAAAATAGCCAGATATGAGAGAGAGACAATAGTTAACAGCACATCCACACCAGCTCCAAATAGTGAAGCTGTTTACAGACCCAAATAACTGCCTGTGTGGCCATAGAAATAAAAGACACAACTCAGAATTTTGCCAGAGGACTGGGAGCTCATCAAAATCCAAACATACACCCAAAGATAAAAAATATACTTCCTGAAAGGAGGAATGTATTGGATAGGCTCGATAGTGAATTAGATACAACAGAAGAGATACTTGGAGGCTTGGAATGTGAAACAAAATTCAGATATCTCCAGAGTGGTATAGAAAGGCAAAATTGAAGATGAAAAGTAAAGACAGGAAGATCGGGAACATAGAAGACCAAGCAGTATGATCTAATATATGTGAGGTTATGGTCTTTGAAGGAGAGGAGAGGAAGAAAATTAGTCTGAAACAATATCCAGAGAGATAATGGCTGTCGTCCCCAAAGGAACAAGTCATAAAGACATAGGAAAGCAAAATGTAGGAAGTCTGAAAATATCCCTGTATATTTATTTATTAATTATAGAGGGAAAATAGTGATTCATAAGGAAGAAGCCTGACAGACATCACCACAACTGAGTGGTCAAAATCAGCAGTCATCAGTAAAGGGAAGAGCACCTAGGGGACACAGTAGCCCTCTTTGAAATCTGTTCCAGAAATATGTAGCTGACAATGATTGTAAGGGAATACTAGACAACCCCAGATACGAGGACGGTGTAAGAAAAAAAAAAAAGAACTTTACTCTCAAGAAATGTTATAGTCATGAAAGGGAAACTGAGGAACTTATTTTAAATGAAAGTAGACTAAAGAAACATGACAACTAAATAGCCTAGATTGGATCCTGAAAGATAAAAAGTTTTAATGGCATTATTTGGATGATCGGCAAGGTTTGAATAAAGTCTGTAGGTAAGATTAGCTAATGGTTTATAGTGATGTTACTACAGCTGTCTGCACGGTGTCTTTTCCAGGACACACTGAAGTTCTTGAGGGATACCAGGTCTGCAGCATTCTCTGCAACAGTTTTAAATGAAGAAGGCTGTGTATTGTGTGTGCATGCATATGTTTATATAGAGACATCTGGGATTTGGAGGACCTTGCCCTTTCCCACAGAGAAAGCATGCACCTTCGCTGAGCTAGGGCTGGGCTGTGGCCAGGCCATTCATTTCCAGTCACCTCTAATGTCAGCATCTCAAGGGTGAGGGCCATTTGTCTTTTGGTGCTTTTGCAGGACTTGGGGATCTGGGTGCTACCATCTTAATTTGTGGGAGACCCAGGCTCCTCACCTTCTTTTTCTTCTCCAGAAGTGTCTTCACTCTTCTGGGCTTCTGGATCTCCACACAATTTCCAAGTTGATTTACTAGGTTTTCATGAATACTGAACAGTTCCGTGTTTGGCTGCCCACGCCTTCAGCTGTGTCCTTTGTCTTCCAGCTTTTCAGATGAGCTGGTAGATGAAGCCCTGGGGGCCGTGGCTGCGGAGCTGCAGGATGTGTGTGAAGACTATGCAGAAGCTGTGTTCACCTCAGAGTTCCTAGAGGCTGCTGCATGAAAGTGGTCCAGGCAGGGCCCTCATATCTCTGGAGGAGAGACAGCACCACCCTGTGTCAGCCCATGGGGAACCTTTGTCCTCAGCTGCCCACTGAAGGGAAATGCCAGTGAGGTCATCCTCACTCTGTATTCTCTCCTTGTCTTAGCAGTGGTTCTGGAAGTTACAACAGGGTGGGTTATGTTTCTTAGTGCCTGAGGAACATGAGAGGATTATAATGAGACAATATTTTCAGAATGTGTAATTTTCCTGCTGAAATGGTGTGTTCATTCCTCTGACTCAGTTTAAAGATCAAAATGTTTTGAAAGGTAATGGATAAAGACATTTCACATACGAATCCCAACTTCAATTGAACCACAGGGGAGGGCCAATCATTGCTAACCCAAGTGCAGTCACTGTCTGCTCCCAGCACCCGGCTCCCGTGGTAAATGTTCCTCACATTGTCACTGGTGCTGTCCTGTGAGGACACCTGTCCCTACTGGGTGGCAACCAACATGGAATGCAGAGTGTAGTGATACCACCAAGCCGCTGCTCAGCAACAGTAGGAGTGGGCGGTCCAACACACGGGCCAAACACCTTCCCCAAGGTTTACTTCCTAGGGGATTTTTCACGTTTTCAGTTCCTTGGAGTCATTTATTGCTGTTTTGATACATGCAGGTATGAAAAGCATTTCTCTGAATGCAGGAAATTTGAGGCTAGGAGAGGGCAGACCTTCCCCATGCCAGCTCACTCTCCCAGAGGGCAGAAGGTCCTCTCCACACCACAGAACATCCCATCTGAAGGAGGGAGCCAGGTGGGTGACTAGAAGACTTTTGGACTCTCCAGGGGACCGAAGATGCCCATATGGCCTTTTGAAGGCTCATAGGTCCTGGTGCTAAGATTTTCAGAAACTCTGAATTGAGAAAAAGAAGTGTGTATAAAAATAAGGCAACTGCCTGAAAAAAAGTTTGCCTGGGTCAGTTATTTGCGTGAGGTTTGGGGAAAGAATGGAAGAGCAGAGGGAAAGATGTGCCCGAGGACTCACGTGAGTCTGGCTACTGCAGACGCCGTAAGCAGCCTCCGTGATTGTTCCGAAGGTATTAGAAGTTCAGGTGATGAGTTAAGTGCTTGGTCACACTTATTTGTACAAAACTGATTTCTGTTTAATGTTTTCTTGCTTAATGTTACATGACCTCAGAATGTAAAGGACATCTAGGGGTTTGTAGTCTTCAGTCTGGAGAGTTAAAGGTGCACTTGAGCCAGTAAAGCACTTGTCATTGGTAGTGTGAAGTCACTTGTGTGGCAGTTTTTACTGTGATGATTTAAAACAAAAATAAACTCAGCATTTTAAATTGTGATCATGTCTATTTGAAATAATTTACATCTCCTTTTTCCCACAGGCAATATGAAATGGGATTTACAGAAACCACTGAGAATACTTTTGTATTTGATATGAACATAGTGGACTATTTGCTACCTCAGAGAAAAATAAATGCTAATAAAACCTAACATTTATTGAGCACATACTAGAATATTGCTCTAAAGGTGTTCCCTGCACTAACTTAATGCTTGTGTACTCTGTATGAGACAGACACCATCATATCTCATTAGCAGATTAGAGCGGGAAGGGAGAAATTGGGCCAGCTAGTCTGTGTTCATGGAGTCACTCACTCCCAAGAAGATTACAGTGCCTGCCCCTGCCTCTCCTTGTCTCTAGTGTCCTAGACACTGCTTCTGGAGCAGTGCCTTTGCTAAGTACTTCTTGCTGAGGCCTGTCCTTGCTGATGACCTGCTGCGCCAGGTGACTGCCATTAGCTCAGGTGGATGAGCGAGCTTAACCTCTGCCTTGTGCCCAGATCCTTGTGGCTCTTGGCAGCCACAGTAAGACACAAAAGTAAACCACAAGAAGTAAGAATTTGGAAATGAGAGGTGATCCTCTGACTTTAGATGCTCCTGCATGCAGCCTTGCAGCCAGACCGCTAGAGGTTTTGCTTTGTGAAAAAGGGCTGAGCACATTTGAGTCATTCTCTAACTCCCTTTGGTTTTCTCAGGGCCTGTTGACAGCCTGTTTTAGAGAGCCATGCGTGAGTTGAGGATGTTTGTGTTGCCTGAGCTCCCCCAGTTTGCTGAGATGCTTGTGTGCTCTGTAGTGTTCCTTTCCGTAGGCCGGCTTTGACTGCCAGCCTCTGTCTCACCTGTTTAGTCCTTGTCTCCAGTGAAGACTTGAGGGCAGGAATTCTTGTTGCTTGTTGCTCTGTAGGTTCATTTGAATTAATGTACCGGGGGTGGATCACACCCAGTACATTATCCACAGATAGGTGTTGACTTTGTGTGACCCTGGCAGAAGGCCATCTAGGAGGGTGCACATTGGTCCCTAGAGTCTACTGATGTTGGCTTCCAACTCATTGTGGAGAACTTGTCTCCCTCTACCTAGACTGGGGGAGAGGGTGCCCCAGATGCTCCTGGGCCTTAGTCAGGCTGCTCCTGTTAATTGGATGTGGGGCAGGCCCAGGGCTAGAGAACTGAGTGGGGTCCAGGTGGGAATGTGACCCTACCCCTTCTTCTTGGTATGGTTGTCTTTCCTGTACCAGGGTGGTATGCTGAAGGGGAACAAGGGTGATGAGAGAAAGTTCGTACCCTCCTCCCCGCACTAGGTCCAGGTGCCTGCCTCCCTGAACTGGGGAGCTCCAGCAGAGTGAGCAAAGGGGGCAGGGCTGAGAGGGGACACAGTGGCCACAGGCTGCAGGTGGAAGAGCCCAAGTGAAGCAGAAGGACCACATTTAGAAGCTCCTGTGTCCTGAGTGCAGTTAGTGTGTTAGTTGGACACTGGTAGGAACTGCCTGCAACAGCTGAAAACCAAGGTGTACCCTTACTGTGGCTCCTGGTCACCGTGGAGGCACCCTTTGGAGCAGTGGTTCTCCACCTTCCTAACGCTGTGACCCTTTAATGCAGTTTCTCATGTTGTGGTGACCCCCAACCATCACATTATTGTTGTTTCTAATATTGCTACTGTTATGAACCATAATGTTTTCCAACGGTCCTTTGGGGGTCGCAACCCATAGGTTGAGCGCCACTACTTTGGAGGGTTCCTCTAAGCAAGCCCCACGCAAGGCAGAAGGCAGCAGTGATCTAGCTGTATGTTCTTACCACTGCTGACCTCCCATCAGCTCTCAGCTGGTGCTAGAGCTGTTTCTAGTCAGTGTCAACATGGGTGTGTATTTCAGTAGCCAACAGTGTGGGTCTGGGTTGGAGGGGCTCCTGTCGGGCATGCTGTATGTTTACTCTTGGTCCTTAGTAAGGACCCCTCCAAAGCTAGCCTTGCTTGCTGACGCCTGTGAGCAGCCCATCTTCCCCCGTGGGAGTGCTGTGCCGAGTCCCCTCTCTAGCCTGCCAGGCCTCTATCCTCTAACACAGGCTTTCAGCAGTCCACCCAGGGCCTTGTGTGTGTCTTCAGTCCAGCCAGAGCTCGCACACACCCTATTAGGTGTCCCCCTTGCCACTGCCCTTCCTAGAATACTGAGTGTGCGCAGTCTGCCTCACTGGCCCTTCCTCCCCACCCCCCATCAGCGTCTCATGTATCCCCAACCAAGAATGGCCCTGGAGAAGACCTTAGCATCTCTCCCTTCAGCGGCTCCTGACCTTGCTGCAGTCTCCTGCCAGGGCACTTGTGCACAGGCCACCGCAACAAGAGCCAGCCTCTTCCTGGTAGAACCATCCGTTTCCCTGGCCCAGGGTCCTACAGCTTTGGTCTCTCCCTTTCCCGCTCCAATACCATGAAGTCCTCTGTGGGGAGCCTCCGAAGTCCTGCCCTGTGGTTTCTGAAGCGTCTTTACACTATCCGCAGGCCAGCCGTGAAGCATCATGGCGGCTTCTGGGGGCAGGGCTGAGAAGCGGGCTGCTCATCAACTTTTGTGCTCTGACAGCCCTTCTGTTACACCACACCCCTGCTCCCAGGCACTGTGGCCCCTCGCTGTCACTGCAGCCCTCCACCCTGTCCCCTTCTGCGTTTGCTCTTTGGGTTTCATACCTACACTTGCCAGGCGCCCTCCCCTAACCCCTATCTCTATCCTAGTCCCTGCCTCCCTCCCCAGGATTTATCCTCAGCTTTTCCCAAGTGTCCCCCCTCCCCACGTGTCCACTCCTCTGACTTCCTGGTCTTGGTGAGGTCTCCTAAGACCTCCCATTCATGGGCTCCAAGTCACTAGGCTGTACTGAGAAGTCCCGTGTATGTATGTTCCTGCCCCCCAGCTTGGGTGGAGCCTCCAGTTCCCCCCCAGTCTGCCTCTCAGTGCCTGAGAGCTCATGGGCATGAGGAATTCCAAGGAGCTTCTGGCCCAGGAATCTGTGTTCCAGGGGGGCAAGAGTACTCAAGTCCTCAGGCTCCCCAAGTCTAAGCTACATTTGACCTAGAAAAACCTGGCAAACACTGGTTACTCAGGTGCACACAGGAAGCAGGGACCGTGGAGACTGGGCCAGCAACTAGAATGTTTGCAGAATTCTTTAGAATTCTTCAGGACCCTTAAGACCTCCCAGGAGAGCCACAGCTCTGAGGTACTCTGAGAGATCAGAGGGTTTTCATCATCACCGATACCTAATGGAGTTATCCAGAGCAAGAGCGACTGTACGTGCGCTTGGGTTTACCACCAGCTCACATCTACCCTGTCTTAAGACTCCCGGGTGCCTTTCGATATATACTGTGCTCTCCCTGGGTCATAGAACAGCCCCATGTGTACCAGTAGTAGTTCAGGTGGTTGAAATCCCCTGTGACTCCCATACCTTAGTTTCCTCGTCTGTAATGTGGACAAAAAAAATGATACCTGCCCAAGGTTATTGTGAAGATTAGAGGATATGGCCATGAAGACAGAGACCAGCACATGGCTGTAAGTTCTGATATTTAGTCACTGTTAGGTTTTTTACAGAACCTGTTAGGAGAGAGCCTTGGCATGCACCAAGCAGCCGGGCTCAGAATGTGCTCCTGGCCTCTTAAGTCACTTTTTTCTGCTCACTGTCCTGTGAGGATCCTTGCTGTGTCCTTCCGTCTGGACACCTGGTGGTGCTTCTCTAGCTTTGTCTTTTTCTGCCCTGGGCAGCACATCTCGGGCCTGTCCAGCTGCTCTGCTGTCCTGCCTCAGACCCACACCTTTGTCTAGGCCCTCAGGTTCACCAGAACTTTCTAAACTGGATCACAGCCTTATGCAGTAGATGCAGTATCAGTTGTCCCATTTTACAGATGGGAAAATCGAAGCTTATGGACTTGATTAGGGCCAACTAGACAGAGTGACAAAGCCAGAAGCATCAATCTTCATCTTTCACCTCCAGTTCCAGTTTCCATTTCATCACAGTTGTGTGGATGCCAGGGTCCAGGGAAGGGGACTGCAGTATTTCAAGCCAGGCTTGGTGACAGCTGTTTTGTGATTGGAAAATCTCCACCTCACGTGGCTTCAGTTTCATCTGTAGAATGGGTTAATACTCTCCATCTCTGTGTTAGTGTGAGAATCAAATGAGCTGGTAGAATGACGGCACTTGGCCACACCCAGGTGATGGAGTGACTTGACTGTCAGTGAGCTTACAGAGGCCAGCTTCAGGCAAGGTCCAGCCTGAGCGAGAAAGTAGGGGACAACGGAGGCACATGAAGATGGAGAGGATGAAAAGGGTGCCAGCAGCTAGACTAGAATATGGGCTCTGTGACAGGCTGCCTCAAAAAGAAGATCTATGGCCCAGTCGCCTTCATCCGCTCAGAACCAAGCACAGTGGCAGTCATACAGCAGGGCCACAGTAACTACTCGCTCCCACTAAAAATGAAGACTGCACTTGGATTTGACAGCTGGTGGATCTAAGAGTCGTCTACTTGAGAGCTCAGTGGATAGCATGCTTGCTCAGTGGGGAGCATGCTCAAAGCCTCAGGTTCAGTCCCCAGCACCAAATAAACAGCACATTGGTGCACATCTGTAATCCCAGCACAGAGGAGCTGGAGACAGGGGGACCAGAAATTCAAAGTCCCACATGGAGCCACATGGGTACCAACAGCCCAGTTAGCATTCACGGCACCAAGACCTTCATCTTTCCAAGATGGGCCCTGGCCTATCTCATTGGCATTGGCCACTTCCAGTAATGAGACACATTCCCATCTAATCCCTCTGCTCTGATTGGTCAGGTCAGAGACACCCGTCCTCTAGAACAGAGGATGGCTCACCGCTCAGGCTGGACCTTGCCTGAAGCTGGCCTCTGTAAGAGTAGTGACAATCAAGTCACTCTATCACCTGGGTGCGGCCAAGTGCTATCATTCTACCACCTCATTTGATTCTCACACTAACACATGGACTGCACCTGGGTGGGAAACGTAGACAGGAGGAGTTGATGGTAGCCAAGCAAACACAGCCAGGAAACGTGAATGAAGTGTGCTAGCTCCCTGGTGGAGGTTGTAGCCCAGGCACTTGGCACAGGAAGACCCAAGGTTCAGTTCCCAACACAGAAGCAAAACAAACACACCATTGTCTCTAGGTGAGGTAGCAACAAATCGCAATTTGTGCTCATGTGAAAGTTCACTGTGTATATAGAAACACCAAAGCGGGCAGGATGGAAACGGGGCTGAAGCAAAACGAAGAAAAGGAGGGATTCGTTTCTGCTGAATGAGGACGGCAGTTGGTTTGAATTAGACCTTGAACAGTAGATAGTTCAGACTGTACTCAACGAGAGAGAGAGGGGAAGGGCCCGCCAGCAGAGGGGACTGCACAGACAAGGCTCTCATGTCCTGAGGAAGGTAGACACGGATGTGAATGTACTACGTGGTTCAGACGGCATGGGTGCTGGAGGGCTTCAGCTGAGGCCTCTCCACATCGTCTCAGTGCAGGTGAACAGGAGAGCTTCCTGGACTTGGAGGCTGGCTGGATAGGAGGTGGCAGCAGTGGCTTCAGCCTTATTCATTTTTTTTTTCTTTTCCTTCTGGCAAGGAATTTCATCCAGCTTCAAGAAGATGCCCTTGAACTAGAATGGGCAGCTCCCTCCACCCCTGTCCCTTCCTTCCCTTGAAAGTGAGGTTTGCCCTAGATTGCCCTCCAGCTCTCTAATCTTTATTCCAGGTCTAAATGGGGGAGTCTACTGGGAGCCCCCGGGCCCTTGCCAAGTGCTCCATCTGTGTTAATCAATCCTTCTGAAACCCAAACCGGCATACGCTCCAGCCTCACAATAAACGTGGAAAGAGTCTGTAGGCGCCTGGCTTTTCCGGCGAATGAGAAAATGGATTGGGAACAATGGGAACTGTGCTAAGGGCGCTGCAGAGGGGCAGATGCTGAGGACTGAGTGGCCATGTCAGGGGCAGGTAAGCCGCACGCACGACAAAGGCCCTGCGGGCGGGCGTGTTCTGTCAGCTCTCTGGCTTGTCTGCTCTGTGTGATGGAGGAGTCCTGGCAATTACAAGACCTGCCCGATCTCTTCCCAGCCCTCCCAGCTTTTGTCACCCATTTAGGTGGCTCTCTGGCCAGCATTTGCTTTCAGAAATTCCAGGCATGTGTGCTAAGTGCGGGGTCACCTGGATACTCAGGTCTTCATGGGAACAGTCCAGGCCGGGGCTCTGGGACCTGTTCTTTCCCTGTCAATGTGTCTGGTCCTCCTTCCATTCAGAGCTGGGGCCTGTTACCGTTGGGAGGCTGCTGCTGCTGCATTGTCTTATGAGCTGTATGTGTGACAGGCCCCCTGAGCCCGAGGGACAGGATGCCAACCAGAGAGCTCCCCAAAGCTTTAACTAACTGGTAGCTGTTCACAGCTCCTAGTCAGGAGCAAGCCCCGGATTCCCCCACATGGACTCCAGGGACTGTTTCCATCTGAAGAAAGGGATCAAAGCAGGGGTTATTGCTAATCGCAAATGTCAAGATCCCTTTAAAACCCGATCAAGCCTGGCATGCTGGGGCACACCTATAATCCCAGCTCTGTGGGAGGCTAAGGCATTAGGAGTACAAGTGTGAGCAAGCTCAGGCAACACCGAGTCCATGGCCAGTCTGAACAGCTCTGGGAGACCTTGTCTCAGAAGTAAAGCAGGGATGAGGTAGATAGAGCTCAGGGGTAGAGCCACTGCCTAGCACGCACAAGGTCCTAAGTTGAATGGTAGCACAGAGGAACAGACAAAATTCTGGTCAAAGCCCTGGATCCCTAGGGAAAAACACAGGTAAATGCACATTCAAATAGTCACATAAAAATAACCACATCGGCGAGCGGCGGTGGGCACACGCCTTCAATCCCAGAACTCGGTAGGCAGAGCCAGGTGGATCTCTGTGAGTTCAAGGACAGCATTGTCTACAGAGTGAGATCCAGGACAGGCACCAAAACTACACAGAGAAACCCTGTCTCGAAAAACCAAAAGTAAATAAATATATAAATAAATAAACAACCACACATATACACAAGCACATGCATGAATATATGTGTAATGTAAATGCACATGTGTTCGTTTATACACACACATGCATGGATGGATGTATGGCCTTGTATGCACAAATACATGTATACACAAGATCTCTTGTCCAGTTTTAGGGCCTGGGATACCCAGGTCCAGGAAGGCCAAGCCTCAGGTTATGCACCCAGAAACCAAGTCCTGGCTCCACCCCTTCAACATGCTGAAGTTGTTTATGCATGTTCTTTGCACCAAGCCTTTTCCAGTATCTTATCCAGAGG